GCTTGACGGCGCATGTAGCGATGGCGATCGCTTCGGCAGGTCGCGATATCGTTCGGGGGGAGGAGGTTGGTAGGGGGGCCATAGTGGGGGCGAGTGCGATGAGGGCGCAAAGTGAAGATAAGGATGGAACTATGATATCTAGGATGAGGAATAGGGGGGGGGGGGGGGGGTTCGCGAAGAGGGGGGGGGGGGGGTGGAAGCGATTGTGATCGCTCGGGTGTTTGCCGAGCGATCCCGATCGCTATGCGGCTACCGCTTTCTGCATGCAATCAGGGCGGCAGCCGCTGTGGCTTCGCGCGCGACGCGACGCGCGCTTCACGCCGCGCGCGGGGCGCCGCCTGGCGCCGCGGGAGCGGCGCGCCGCGCGACGACGGGCGCCCAGGAGTTGCTGGGGCAGCTGAGGTGCGCCCCACCTTCTTGTCCAAGCTGCGGCCTCGGAGCGAGCCATGGAAAGAGCTGCTCAACGCAGCGACGCTGGCGACGACCACGCTGCAGTCATGGTCTTCCTTTTCGTCCGAGGACTCGGCCGAGCTGGTGCGCGCCATGTCCGAGCTGCCATTCGGCGCGAAGCAGCGCGGTCATCTCCTGCGGGCTGTCGCGACGCTCGCCGCCTGCCACGGCGCGCGCGCTGGCTGCCAACGCAGCTGCGCCCCAGAAGCTGCTGAGCAACTCTCGCGCCCCCCAGCAGGACTTCACGGCCATCACGGCCTACCTCACGGCGAGGCAGTGGGAGACAATACTGGGCGAGGGCAACGACTTTCCGGGCCGCGCGGGGGTCGCGCTCCAGGCGTGCAAGACGCTCGGATGGAGGGCCATCCACGTACCTACAGTCCAGGTCGCCTGCTGCATCGCGCTGAAGGTAGATGGCGCCGACGAGGCGCTACGACGCTGCCCCGTGGCCCTTTGGGGCTACTACAAGCGTGCGAAAATTACGCAAAGAAGCTGCTCCCTTGGAAGCTGTTTAGGCAGGCAGATGGCGGAGTCCGAGGGCGCCTTCGTTTCGGCGCTGCCCGCTTCCCCTGTGGACCACGCCAGGTCGCGTGGCGAGATGTACGCGCGCGCGTTTCCAAGAAGGGCCCAACGGCTTTCCCGTTGGATTCCACGCAGTTCATGGCGCTGACGGACGGCGTCCCCATGCGCGAGAGCAAGGCGCGGATTAAGGCGCTGATTGCGTCGGGCTCGGCGCAGGGCATCGCGTCGGCGCCGGCGACGCCAGGGCAATGCGATGCCAGGGCGGCGCCGTGCAGGCGGCGCCAGCCGTCGTCGCCGTTGCCGCTCGAGGATGACGGCGCCGCTTCGAGCACTGCCGCGTCAGCGTGTCGGGCACCGGGCCTGTCAGCGCAGGAGGCCAGGGGCAGGATCCTCGAGAAGCTCAAAGGCCGCAAGCCGAAGATGCCCCAGGAGAGCGGGGGCGAGGGCGACGGCCAAGCGCGGACCAGGCCAGTCGATGGCGCTCAAGTTCGCGAAGTTCGGTGGTGACAGCGATAAGGCGATGGCGGAGGCCAAGAAGTGGGTGGCCAAAGCGATCGCGGGCGGCGCGTGAGTCGCACCCGCGCTGCGCTCGCGCCGCAGGGGCGCTGGCGCGCCATCTGCGCGGCACGGGGCCGCTGCCGCGCGTGGGGGCGGGGTGCTTCGGCACGGCGCGCGTGCGGAAAATGCAAAGGGGGCGCGGCCGATGTGAACGACAAGAGGTGGAAGGCGTGATTGAGTAGCGCCTTCGACCGCCAGGAGGTGGAGGGCGAGGGGGCGAGAAGGATGGAGGCAGGAGAGCGAGGAGGGGGAAGAGGGGGAGGGGGGGGAGGAGGAGGGGGGGGGGGAGGAGGGGGAGGAGGAGGGGGGAGGGGGGGGAGGAGGCGGATCGAGCGATGGCGATCGCTTGGGCGGAGCGGCGGCGACCGCTTGAGGGGGGCTGGGAGGCAGATCGAGGCTTATAACAATGATGATGAAGTTTTCGCATGAGGTTTGTAGCGATTGCGATCGCTTGGGTTCAATGATGCATTGCAGCGGGCGCGATCGCGCGGGTGCGTGTGTGTGTGGGGGGGGGGGGGGGGGAGATTATGGGGCCAACGTTTGGGAAGGCGGGGTGGCCGGGCGGGCAGCGATTCCGATCGCTTTGAGTTGCGAGAGAATGCGCGCGATCGTGGCAGCGATCATTTTGCCATAACGAGCCGTTTTGGCTCTGCGCGGTGCCACCCGCGGCAGCTGCGCGCCGCCCGCAGCGCCCGCGGCTCTGCGCGGCGCCGACCGCGCTCGCGCGCGATGTCGGAGGAGTTCCTGTCCGCGGCACAGGCGCTCGCGCCGCAGCTGGACGACCCTGGCGCTGGGGCCGAGCGCGACAGCCAGCGCGACGGCGCGGGCGGCGAAGCCGTTGCACCAGGGGAGGTGGCGTCGCCAGTGGACGTGCCACCGTCGCCGCCGCCGCCGCCGCAGAGCTACAGCAGCTATGCGGCGGAGAGCGGCGACAGCGTGCCGCTGCCGAAGAGCGCCAGCAGCGGCGAGCCGTTGCGCGCGCCCGTCGGCATCTACGCGCAGCCGCCCGTGCAGCCGCCGCCGAAGCGCCCGCGCCTATCGGCGGCCGCGGCTTCGGCGTCGGACGACCTCGACGTGCTCGCGACCGCCATCGCGGCACCGATGGCGCCGCGCTCGAAGGCGGCGCCAAGGGCGCACGCGCCGACGGCCGCGCCATGGCGGCAACGGCTGCAGCAGCAGATGCCGAGGCCACCAAAGGCATCGGCAGCAGCAGCAGCAGCTGCGACGGCAACGCCAGCGCCACCAGCAACACCACCGCCTTGGCGCACACCAGCAGCAGCGCCACCAGCAGCAGTAGCGAGAGCAGCAGCACGCCCTCGGCCGAAGGCCCTTCGCCTAGGCCCAGCGCCACCAGCAACGCCACCGCCTGCAGCAGCAGTAGCGAGAGCAGCGGCAGACGAAGCAGCTCCAGCAGCAGCTGCAGCAGCCGCAGCGATGGGTGCAGCAGCAGGCGCAGCAGCTCCAGCTCCAGCAGCAGCAACTGCAGACCTTGCTGCAGCACTGCAGGCCGCAGTCGCAGCGCGGGCGAGCAGGTGCGAGCAGCGGGCTAACAACTACACGCCCGAGCAGGTCATTGACTTTCAGGCGGAGACGGCCGTGGCGAAGGCGTTGGGCCTGCGGTGGGACCAGCGCGGCCCTGCGGGCCCGCGGCAGGGCGGCCCCGACACGTGGCGGGGGCAGCAGCGCCGCGCCAACAGAGGTCCGGGCCAATCGGGGCGGTCGGGATCGCGAGTTCTTCAACGCGAAGCATGGCGGTGGCAGGGACAAGGGCAAGGACAAGGGCTCCGGCAAGGACAAGGGCAGCGGCAAGGGCAAGGGCTGCGGCAACGCCACCGCCAGCAGCACCGCCGCCAGCAGCACCGCCGCCAGCAGCAGCAACCGCCAGCAGCAGATGCAGTTCTTGCGAGCAGAAGCAACCGCTGCGCTGCTGCGCTCGCTGCCGCGCTCGCTGATGCGCTGCTGCGCCCGTTGCGCCTCGGCAGCTGCGGCGCTTCGCGGCAGCCGCTGCGCTGCCGCGCTCGCCGCCGCGCTCGCTGCTGCGCCGCTGCGCCCGCTGCACCTCGGCAGCTGCGGCGCTTCGCGGCAGCCGCTGCGCTGCCGCGCTCGCTGCTGCGCCCGCTGCGCCTCGGCAGCTGCGGCGCTTCGCGGCAGCTGCGGCGCTTCGCTGCGGCCAGCTGCGGCAGCGCCGTGCCTGCGAGCGTCGCGGCGGCGGCGCTTCGCTTATAGGCGACTGATTTCGCGCTTGCGAGCGCGCGCAGACGGCTGCGCACGGTCGGCGGCGGCGGCGGCAGCGACGTCGGGCGGCGAACGCGGCGACGGCGTTAGCGACGGTGAGCGGGTCTGGTGTCTGGGGGGTGGAAGCATTCCAATTGTTGGGCAGGCAGACATAAAAACGACTCCGATCGTTGATGGGGGGGGGGGGGGGGGGGCGGGGGGGGGCGAAGCGAACCCGATCTCTGCGATGGTTGGCGACGAGCGATTGCGATCGCTCGGGGGGAAGGGCGGTCTGGACTGGATGAGTTGGTGACGGCGATTCTGATCGCGGCCTGAGGTGCTTGAGGGAGACGCTGGCGGGCGCCATGGGCGATTCCGAACGCGCGTGCAGGATAGCGGTTTCGGTCGCTTCCGATGGGTGGGCATGGTTCGAACGCGCAGCATGCCATTGCCGTTGTTGGCTCTGTCCCCGCACGCGGCCTGCGGCGGGCGGCGGGCGGCGTCGGCCCGCGGCGGGCGGCGGGCGACATCGCGGCCTGCGGCGGGCGGCGGGCGGCATCGGCGGCGGCGGCGGCAGCCGCAGCGGCAGCGGCAGCAGCAGCAGCTGCCAACACCCGTCGGTGGCACCGACATCAGCAGCAGCAGCAGCAACGCCGCTGCAGCAGCAGCGACAGCAGCTCCAGCAGAAGCACCACGTCGGCGGAGGTGGGCGAGCGGTACCGCCTCGGGTGCGCGGTCCCAGGCTGCACAAAGAAGTGCTTCAAGCAGTCGCCGCGCGAGTGCTACATCTGGTACGAGGAGCACTTGAAGAACTCGACCGCTGAGAGCCATCGTTGCGTCGACGAATGGCAGCGGGCCGACGTGGTCGGCCAGGCGGTCGCCAATCCCGTCGACCCCTCCGACGTCGGCGAGTGGCGCGCGTGGGGGGGCAGGAAGACGGCCGAGGCAGCAGACGCAGCAGGCGCAGCAGGCGCAGCAGCAGCAGCAGCCACCTCCGCGGAGCCCACGCGCGAGTCGCGGTCGCGGTCGCGCAATCGCCGCCGTCGCGCCAAGCGCGAGGAGGCCAGCCCGCCGGCAGCGGCGCGCGCCCCGCGCTCGCCGACGCGCAGGGGCGAGCCGACCTCGCTCGCCGCCGCCGCCCGCCGAGGCGCCGTCGCTGGCGGCGGCGGCCCCCGCGCCAAGTCGGCGTCCTCGGCGCCACCGCCCGCCGCCGCCGCCGCCGATCAGATCCGCTCCCTCCATGCGACTGCGGAGAGTCTCAAGGAGACGGTGGCGGCGGTGGCGAGCGTCGTGGCTGCTGGCTCTTCGTCGTTGGCGTCGAACGCGGTCGCCTTCCTCAAGGAGACCGTGGCGCCGATGGCGCCGCTGTCCGTGGGCGCGGCAACCGCGACGCTGTACATGGGCGCGGCCAAACATATCCTGGACCACATCAGGAGGGCCCAGAGCTGCGCGGAGGCGGCGGCGGACGCGCGCAGCAAAGCCGCGGCCGCGTTCCAGCGCGAGGCGGCGAGGTCGGCGTCGGTGCGCGCCGACGTCGAGCAGGCGACGCGGCCGCGCGGCCGCTGAGGTTGCACCGCAGTTGGGGGCGGATCGATTAATTGATGGACGCCGGGAAGCCGAATGGTTAGCTGGTGATGGCACCAAGTGGCTAGCCATTCGGCATCCATGCATCCAGCAGATAGTCGCTCGGCCCTCAACTGTCACCAGGCTGCCTCCCCGCGCCGCCGCCCCGCAGCGCTGGCAGCGCTGCCGCGGCCGCCCGCCGCCCGGCGCGCCCGCCGCCGCGGCGGCCCCCGCCGCCCCCCGCCCCCGCGCCCCGCCGCGCCCGTCGCCGCGGCCATCCGCCGCCCCGCCGCGCCGCGCGGCGGCGGGCGGCCCTTGCGGCCCCCGCGCCGCCCCGCGCCCGCCGCCGCGGCGACGGCGGCCGCGCTGCCATCGTTAGCAAAATACATTGCGAGGGGGGGGGGGGGGCGAGGGGGGGGAGGCGGAGGGGGGGGGGGCGGAGGAAGAGAAGGAGGGTGGGGATCGGGAGCCTCGAGACGGGGGTCAGTGCAAACGGGGGTCAGCCAGGGTGCCGGATCCTGCAGGATCCTGCGCAGGCCCCTTCTGGCTGACCCGGGTTAGGGAGCCGATCGTGGCCGCGAGGCGGCCGCGCGTATTGGCTGACCCGGGTTTGCGAGGACCTGCGTGCATTTTTTTTTTTTTCCTGCATTGCAGTTTTTGGTTTCCTGCTGACCCGGGTCTGGATTGATCCGGGTCAGAGGGTCCCCGAGGGGAGAAAGCGATGGCGCCGCTCGCTTTGATGTCGAGCGCGTGGGTTAGCGATGCCTATCGCTTGCGATAGCGATGTCGATCGCTTGGTCGGAGCGGCGGCGCGGGGCGCCGGGGGGCGGGGTGGGGTGGGTAGGGGGGGGGGGGGAGGTGGCGATGCTGATCGTTTGCGTAAGCGATGGCAACCGCTTGGGGTAACAATGCCCATCGCTTGGATCAGCGATGCCGATCGCTTTGTTGTTTTTTTTGTGGGGGGGGGGGGGGGGGGGGGGGGGGGCGGTGGCGATGGTTGTTGAGTGGGGGGTGCTTGGCGATGCCGACCGCTTGGGTAAGCGATGACCGTCACTTGGGTTAGCGATGTCGATCGCTTGGGCGGGGCGGCGGTGAGAGATGCGGATGGGCGGGCGCGCCGATGTCGATCGCTTGAGAGTGGCGAGGGTGAGGGATGATGAGGGGAATGTGGCGACGACGATCGCCCGCGAGCGTCAGCGATGGTGATCGCTCGTTGGAATGATGATGAGGTCTGGTGGGGCGAGATTGTGAGATGGCGGTGGTGGTGATTGGAGTAAGTGCACCTAGGGCCCTGGTAAGTACCGCAAGTATCATACGTTCCACACAATGTTAAAGTTTCCGTCATAGTTCCGCGATCTTGTGTTATCTTTTGTTATCCAGAAGCTTCGTTTCCGAGGATGACAGAAGATGCCATATGATAACCTGCTAGCTTAAGAGGGTGTCACGTTATCTTATACGATAACGCGCCCTTTAGGATAGCATGTTATAATTTAGGATAACATGATATATATTGTTTTCATGGTGCCAGAAATTCCAGGATAACATAGGATATCACAATACAGCAAAACTATAACAAAAATATAGCCTCGCGTAGAACGTATCGTGCTTATCATACTTAGGCGTGGTAAGTAACTTAGCGATGGCGACCGCTTGTTCATAACGATCGTGGTTGTTGATGTGGCGCCACTGCTGTTGTAGATCGAGCGGGCGAGTTTGGTGCTCGTCCTTGCGACGAGACCCGATCGTGGGGCTTGCGCGCCGCGCGCCGTTCGCGGGGCCCGCGCGCCATGTCCACCGCGACCGACGCCGTCCAGGCCAAGGGCGAAAGCGACTGCGACAGCGAGGCGGCGCTGAAGCTCGCGGGGCCGAGCGATGATAGCTTGCACGCTGCTATGATTGCCGGCCTCGGCTTGGGCAACGGGCAGGCAAGTGGCGCCGCGGCGGGCGGCGCCGAGGGAGGCGGCACCGCGGCGGGCGGCGCCGAGGGAGGCGACGCAGCGGCTGGCGACGCCGAGGCAGGCGACGCCGCGGCGGCAGGCAGAGCGGGCGACGCCGCGGCGGCGGGCAGCGCGACGGGCGACGCCGCGGCGACAGGCTGCGCGGGCGATGCCGCGGTCGACGCAGGCAGCGTGGGCGACGCCGCGGCCGCTGCAGGCATCGTGGGCGACGCCGCGACGCCACCAACGGCGACGCCGAGTGCGCCCATGAAGGGGAAGCGGCCGCCGGGGAAGGCCAGGGAGAAGGCGACGGCTGCAGATGCGGCGACCCAGCACGTGGCGAAGGGCAAGGCTGAGGGCAAAGCCATGTTGGCGCCGAAGCCACCGCCCAAGGAGGCCACAGCCAAGGCGGCGGACGCGGCAGCGTCTGTGCCACCCAGGATCAAGTCGGCGAACGCTGCAGCGCATGTGACCAAGGCAGCGGCGGAGAGTGCGGCAGCGCTTGTGCCCCCCAGAACCAAGTCGGCGAAAGCTGCGGCGTCTGTGACCAAGGCAGCAGTGACGAGTGCGGCAGCGCCTGCGCCCAAGGCCGCGGGCAAGGCCATGGCTGGCTACGCGGGCGCCGGCAAGGGTATCCAGAAGGTGCCAGTCCGACCGCCGCAGGCGGACTCGACTGCTGCGAGTTCGGGGACGGCTACCCCCAGCAAGACGGGGCGGGGCGAGGACTGCTCCTCTCCTCAGAGGTTCGCGGTGGGGAGCTTCGCGGCGCTATCGAGCCCGCAGGGAAGGGGCCGCCTGAGCGACCGGTGCGAGCTGTGCTTGGATGTTGTCGACGACGCGTTCCATTGCGATCGGTGCGGCCAGCCGTGCGACGCGACGTCGTCGCATCCCATGCGGGTCACGAAGAAGGGGCAGGTCTTCGGCTGCAAGTTGTGCTCGTCGCGCGGCGTTCAAGTCGCTCGTTGCGAGGAGTGGGGTGCGATGAAGGCGCGGCTGCTGCGTTTCAATGATCGCGGGCGGAAGGCCTTCTGCAGCGGCCTGCAGGAGTGCACGAAGAAGTTTGAGCTGCAGAAGCCCCTGCAGACGCTCGCGGAGAAGGGGCAGCGGCACGGCAATGAAGGTGGCTATTACCCATTGACGTGGTACAAGAAACAAGGGTTCCCGTGGCGCCGCATCAAAGCCACGTGTACGGACGTTGTTCAACGTCCCGTGCTGGGTAAGTGCTACCGCGTTGAAATCCATGAAATAGAGCGCTGGGAGCAACGAGTGGGCAGACAGGTCCAGAGCAGCGAGGAGGCCGACGATGTCGACGACGCCGACTCTGAGGAATGCGAGGGGGAGTGCGAAGGCGGCGAGGAGGAGGAGGGCGGCGAACGCGACGAGGTGATCAGTGATTCACCTGCGTCGCCCAGCGGTAGCGATGATGATCACGATCGCTCATCAGAGGACGGCTCTAGTCACGAGCCACCGGCGCCACCCATCAAGGCAAAGCATCACCGCAAGGACGGCGCCAAGAAGGTCCCATTCAAGGACGAGCTGCGCAGCGATGACGACATTGAACGCAGCGGCGCCACGCGCAGAGATAAGAAGCATCGCAAGGACGGCGATGCGAAGGTCAGCAAGCACGGCGGCTACAAAAAGCTATCGAGTGATGCGATGATCAGAGCAGCACTGGACGTTAGCACTAAGCGCCCTAAAGACAAGGCCACGCACACGGACAAGGGCAGAAGCATGTAGGACCAGCACAAGGACAAGGGCACAGGCAGCAAGGCCAAGCGCCTTGATAAGAGCAGCGCGGGCCGCGCCAAAGACACGCCCACCCGCAAGAGCAGCAAGGGCAAGGCCAAGGAAGCCGAGAAGACGAGGGTCGCCAGCACTGAGGAGAAGAAACTACGCGACGCCGACGCCCATGAGAAAGGCAATGAACACAATAAACACGAGAAGCCGCTCCCCACCAGCAGCGGCAGCGACAGCAATACCGACAGCGACTCCCCCGAGCTGCCGCCGTCGCATGAGATATCCCAAGAGAGGAAGGCCCGCGAGCAGGCTGAGAGGGAGAGCGCCGAAGAGAGAGGATGGACACGTTGAAGAAGGCGGAGAAGGAGAAGGCGGCCAAGATGCTCCCGGCGACGCGGGCGCAGGTAATCATCATCACCTTCTTACCCCCCCCCTTCTCGTCCATCCCACCCCCGAGCAATGCTCAGCCTCCTTCTCCTCCTTCAGGCGAAGCTGATGGTCCCGCGCCAGAGGCTGGGAACGGGTTCGACGGGTTCGGCAAGCTCCCCGATGCCATCAAGAAGAACGCGGCCGACATGTTGCAAACGTTACCGGCCATCTTAAGGGCGTGGCCTTAGCGCAGCCACGCATTGCCAGGAGGTCGCTGCAGGTAGCGGCGCTGAAGGCCACGTGGTGCCTTAGCGTCTTCCCCCACCATGGCCGCGGTGGGGGAATTGAGGGCGGCGGCGCGCCCTGCCCACCACCGCGCGCACCGCAGCCGCAAGCCTTGGCAGAGGCACAGAAGCCTGCCGTCTGATCCAGGCGCCACGCTCGCCAGCTGCATTCTGCTTGAGCTCGCGCAGCCAGAGAGTGCAGCTGCCACAGCTGGCGTACACCAGCCATGTGCCTTGTTCCTTGCTGCGCATATGCCACCCAGCAAGGGGGCCTTTTCGCGCGGCGCAGCGCATTTGCGCCGCGCCGTGCCATGGCTCGGGCGAGCCGCATCGTGACGAGAGGAAATGACGAGGAGGAGGCAAATGAGGGGGATGCGGCGCCTCCCCTGCCACCCGCCGCGCGGCGCATCATTTCCGCGCGGCGCAGCGCATTTGCGCAGCGCAACGTGCCTAGTTCCAGGTGCGCGGTGACGCGCGCTGCCCCCCTCCCACCGACTGCGCGTTGATCGCGCAGCGGCTGTGGCTAGTAAAAACATAGCGGTGATAGCAATGTCGATCGCTGGATGCGGGCGGTGCAGTCGTGGAGGTGGCAGAAGCGGGTGGGCGAGTGACCTAGCGATGGCGATCGCTGTGGGGTGGAGGGTAGCAATGCTGATCGCTGCGGGAGGGATGGCAG